GCTAACCTACTCTCTTAGTTTGCAGCTTTCAGACAAATGACGGACAGTTGTTTGTTTGTTTTTCAAGACATTAACCCAGAAGCAATTTCTTAAACATGCTATCTAGTAGATGATATCTGTTAGAGAGATGTATGTCTGGAGATACTATTGAATATCTGGGGGTTGGGGGGACAGGTTAGGGGGATGCTGTTAAGGACTAGGAGGTACCTTAAAGTGACACTGTATTTGCCTTGCTCTGCATGCTGATGGTGGCAGCCCCAAAATCATGCAGTGCCAGGGAGTGGTTCTAGAGAAAATTGTTCAGGTTGCAAATATTTTTAAAATGGAAAGATAATAGGAAAGATTTGTGTGTACTTTTGGAAATTTTTTTTATTCTATGTTTTTGAAAGCTTTAATGTAAGGGTTTTGTTTTGTTTTCCAGTGAAATATCTACATTATCCATATGGATGAAATAATTTTAACGCTTTTTATTCCTTCCCCACCTCAGCACCTTCTGTTTGCCTTTGCTCTCTTTTAATTGTCTTCATTTTATTTTTCACTTCATTTCTTTTTCTGTGTTGTCAAAGAATTTTTTTCTTCTCATTTAGGTCATGCTTTGAAAATCTGTGTTGGGGATCTTATTTTATTATATTATTTTATCCTAATTAAAAATATAAACCATTAAAATGATTTTAAAAAGAAATACTGATCATGCAAACAGTTCTCCAAAAAATGAAATCCCAGACCTAAATAAATAAATAAATAAATACCATATCTATCTGTTGTCTTGCCAAAAGGACTTCTGTACCTGAAGTCCAAACTAATATCCAGTATCATCTCATAAATTTGGCTAGTATATCCATCACAAATCATGTTGTTTCCCCAGCGTAAAGAAAATCCTTGAGGTACTCTTCCCACCAAAGCACTCATTTGTCCTAAGTTTCCTCTTCTGAAAGCTGTTGAGTCCATTGTGATGGCAGCTGGTTATTTGAGCAGCAAAGGAGGTATCTTTATACCTTAAAACCAGTCCTCTAATGAAAACTATCTCTACCCACTGCCAACTCCACTCTGAAACAGAGATCAAAATTAACTTCTTAATACTCAATTCCAGGTATTGTGTTATTTTTTCAGATATAGCAGCAGCTAAAGGAAGGGACACATTCTAATTTTTGTGTTTCTAGTAAAAAAAGTTACAGTTTTTTTCTACAGCAGTACCTAGTTAGACAGTTTTTAATATAATGGGTAGAAATGAAGGTAATAGTAAGAAATACTGACCTGACCAGATTTAAGAAGGTCATATATCTAATACCAACAGCTTTCAGAAGCCAGTGTTTCTGCCCCTGAACTCCCACAGGTAAAGAACTGAGAAGTCTAAGGAGAAGCATAAAATTGTCTATAGGACAAAAGTATCTATAGGTAGTGAGCATAGTTGAGTGGTTAATTACTATTATTACTCAATCAGCTCCTGAGATTCAAGAAGAATAGTCAGCCAACAAATCTTTGTTGACAAGGAGGAAGGACTGTATTGCCACCATACGTGTTAGGTGCTGAGAAATGCAGGGGAAAACAAACAAGTTTAAAGACCAGAGAGTTCAAGACATATATTCAACAAATTGCCACCATTTGTTAAATAAATTAATTCAAGGGTGCAAAGAAATACAGTGGTCAACAGAAACCTAACACATACATATATGCATGTGCACACACATGGAACAGAGCTTGAAATGAAACTACCATCCCAAGTGACAGCTTTGCTAGTTCATAACAAGCAATATAAATAACAGCTTCTATGTGGAATTTACATGTACCCTTTCTCTATCTTTGTTTATAGCTGCTGAAAAGAATAAGCAAACATGGGTTCTACTGATGTCACAGATAGAGTTAGTTGTTGAAGAGACATGATTTAAAATGAGTGATTGTATATGTTCTGGTATGTGGCCACTGGAGCCAGATTGGCTTCTGTTCTATATTCAGTATTTTACTTACTAATCTGTCATCTTGGATGCTGCACCAGTAAAGCAAAGATGAACAACCACATTAACAACCACATAGGTAATTGTAAGGGTTGAATGAGTTAATACATGTAAAGCACTTAGCACATGTAAAGTGCCTGCCACGAGGTAAGTGCTCTACAAAGGTCACATACTGATTGGTTTTGTTTATTTGGGTCAACTAACTGAACACAATAGTATCAAATCTCAATATTATTTTTTGAGTAGGGGGTATTTCTGTCAGAAGTATACCAGAGTAAGATTTAATAAGTATAGATAAGGGGGCCCAGAAATTTACCACCACATTTGTTGCCTTTAAGGATAAATTTTAGTTAGAGTGTTTACTGAATGACAGTATTTTCAGATTTAGAATGTGACATTAACTCTGATATTGTTAGCAGTGAAAAACTGTAGTAGGTAGGCAGTCCTCATATATATTAGCTTCCTTTAGACTTATTTTCAGAAAATACATTTGTCTTATTATCTGAATATATTGTGTCCCATTTAACCTACTTGTGACAAATTAAGGAATAAGATAGTAGAATAGGAAAAGCTTGTGGAAGTTTTTAATATGTATGTTAGTACAAGAAGACCCTGGGAAAAGACCCAGGACTGAGAATCTGTCTCCTTCAGCAGTAGGGAAAGAGGTGGCCCCTTGCAGTGTGATAATTAGGAGAGTTTATTAAGGGAAACTTACATTGAGGTGGGTCTTGCGTGGCTTCAAGACAAAATGGATCCCTATCCCACTTGGCATGTGCCAGAGAATTACATAGGACAAGGTGAGATAGTCATGGATACCAGTGCATGGATGCTACCAGGTATGAAAATTACTTCACCTGCCTGACCAGGTCAGGACAATGGCCTGCTCCAGGAACCAGGATGTAGCAGGAGGCAGGAGAAGGGGTTCTGGTAAATCAGGATGAACATGGATTACAACCAGTCAGTGTCTAAAGGGGAGTTTGTGGTAAGAATCTCCTTTCTGGCCCCAGGGCTAGCTCATGCATCACACTGAAGTAATGCCATGGAATGGTCATCTCTCCTCCACACTGTGGAACACCTTAGAATATGAAGTTCTTCAGGGCTATTAATAGGCATGGCATCATGGACAGTTTTTCAGACTTTGTGCTTCACTCTGGGGAAAGAATTTGGCATCTTGAATTTCTTCACTGGGTAACTTAGAACCCAGTTGTGTGAACACCAGCTGCACATATCATGTTACCTGAGTTCAGCATCAAAGTTATAAATGAAACCAGTCACATGTTCTTTCAAAGCTACTGCTAGTCAAAACAAACATCCAAATAAAACAAAGTAGTATGAATAAGTATGACCATAAATCTTTTTATTAGCTCTCTGGTTTGGGCTTTTAAAAACCTCATTTAGCTCCGACTGGCATGGCTCAGTGGATTGGGTGTCACTCTCGCAAATAGAAAAGACCTGGTGGGATTCCCATGTGGATACATGCCTGAGTTGTGGGCCTGGAGTTAGAAGCCTGCAGGAGGCAGCAGATCTGTGTTTCTCTAGCACATCAGTGTTTCTCTCCCTCTCTATCTCCCCCACTTCCCCTCTCTCTAAAAACAAATAAATGAAATCTTTTTTTATTTGCCAGATGGCAGAATTTTATGGTTTTATCAACACAAATACAATGTGTACACAATCTGTGTATTCATTTTCTTCGCTGCACAGCCTGGCATTGGGATAGGTGATATGATGGCAGCTGGGCCGCTGATGGCAATGGGAAAGCATTGCCATTCTTTGAGGAGACGTTAGCAATCTCAGCACAGTAAGATTTGTTGCATATCAGCAGCACTTCAAGCTCCTTGACCTTGTGAACCAGGAACTTCTGAAAGCCACTGGGCAGTATGTGCTTTGTTTTCTTGTTGCTCCCATAACCAATGTTGGGCATCAAGATCTGGCCTTTGAATCTTCGGTGCATCCTACTGTCGATACCTCTGGGTTTTTGTCAGTTCTGCTTAATTTTAACATATCGGTCTGAGTAGTGCTGGAGGAACTTCTTTGTCTTCTGACAATCTTGGGTTTCACCAGGGGTCTGAGGGCAGCCATGGTGTTAAGTAAGAGATGCTTGCCACATCCGTATACAGCAGGGAGGAGGAGAGAAAGGTGGTGTGGGAGGCCTGATGGGACTAAAATCTTTACAAAAAAAACACAACCCAGTTTAAAAACTCATTTAAAATACTTAGTTTTACTCTACTCAGACTATACTGGTTAATGCATGTGTGCTTACTATATTCCAGATGCTATACTAGACACTTGCTATATTAATAAGTTTTTATTCTAATAAAAAAAACTATACTTACCACATGGACAAAAACTAGGGGGGCGTGGAAATGGGAGGGAGTTGGTGAGGGCTGGGGGGGTTTACTGGGATGGGAGTAAAAGACAGAAAATTGTACTTGAACAACAATTAAATAAAAAAATTAACTATACTTGCAGCTTTTAAATAATGCAGCAACCTCAAAGGGTCAGTACCAAAAACGTAAGTATATAGAGTCTACACACAAGTGTTCTTTGTAGTTTTATGAACTAAAAACCTTGTAGAATTTTTTATTACTGTTTCAGAAAAGCCACCGGTGTTTTTCAAGGGACTGTGTTCCACTTGGTTTGTCTCTAATCTCTATTAACCAATAAAACCGATCTCATTCCGCAGCTGTGGGAAATAAACAATAACGGAAAAGTACTAACTTTACAGCTTCATTCGGTTGCCTGAACAGCGAAGGAATAGGAAGAAGAGTTCCTCATCCCCCGGTACTTCCTATCGCTCTGCTCCCGGGCTTGGCCTCAGCCGCTTCAACCAGGCCGGAGCACCTGCACGCTGCAGAAGGGGTGGACCAAGTCTCCCGAGTGGCTGGAGGCGGGGTCCCGGGGTTGTGGGACCGGTCTCCGGCGAGACGTGCAGCCGGCCTGCGCGCACCCCAGGAGTTCTCGCGGCCTCTGGGAGCGTGCGCAGGCGCGAGCTGCGCTAGAAAGAACCGGTCTAGGTGGCATTCGAGTGGAGTGCTGACAGGTCACCGGCTTTGGGCACGATGGGTCCTGGAGAGGAGCTGCCTGTGGAGCTGGGCGCCTGCGGTGGTGCCTCTGAGTTGGAGCTGCTGAAACTGCGCGCTGCGGAGTGCATCGACGAGGCGGCCGGCCGCCTAGGGGCCCTGAGCCAGGCCATCTGGAGCCAACCCGAGCTGGCCTACGAGGAGCAACATGCCCACGGCGTGCTAACGCGCTTCTTCCAGTGCGAGCCACCGGCCGCCTCTTGGATGGTGCAGCCGCACTACCACCTGGCCACGGCCTTCCGCGCCGAGTGGGAGACACCGGGGGTCCATGTGTCACAGAACCCTCTGCACCTGGGCTTTCTGTGCGAATACGACGCACTGCCCAGCATCGGGCACGCATGCGGCCATAACCTAATCGCTGAAGTCGGGGCGGCGGCGGCGCTGGGCTTGAAAGGGGCTCTGGAGGCCTTCCACGGGCCGCCTCCGCCGGTAAAGGTGAGGGGGGGCCCGGGCGTGGAACTCTCATCACCTGGCCGGGCGGGTACCTACACGGGAATGGAAGGACCTGGCGCGCATTCCGTGCACACCTGTGTCCTCCTGCCCCAGGACTGGTACAGCACTAGGCTACCTAGCCTCGCCTGTGCCGGAAGGCAGAACCCTTGGATAAAACTTCAGGACTTTCGGATCTAGCGACGTTGCAGATTTTGGGGTTTCCTCTTATGTTGTTGTAAAGAATTGTGTGGGTTCTCCTTTATGAAAGAACTTAGAATCCAGCCTTTAAATACATATATTTGATTATGCTATTACAGTTCTCCCATTTCCCCCCTCTACCTGATGGCGCCATTCCCTCATGCAATTCATGTCCACCCTTAGTTCATATCCATATGTCATGCATGTAAGTTCTTGGGTTACTCCATTTCCTGTACTGTTCTTAACATCCCCCTGTCTATTCTGTACCTACCAAATGGTACTTCTTTTTTAAAATTTTATCCTTTTTTTATATTAATTGTTGTTGCAGTACAATTTTCTTTTACTCCCATCCCAACCCACCCACCCAGCCTTCCCCTCCTCCCTCCCATTTCCACCTGCCCCTAGTTTTTATCCATGTGTCCTTGATGCTTGTTCCTGTAAACCCTTTCCCCTTTTCCCCTGAAATTCCCTCTCCTCTCCCCTCTGAACACTGTTAGTATGTTCTCTATTTCAGTGTATTTGGTTATACTTTGCTTGTTTCTTTGTTTTGTTCTTTAGGTCCCTGTTAAAGGTGAGATCATATGGTACTTGTCTTTCACTGCCTGGCTTATTTCGCTCCAATTTGTACTTCTTAATCCCTGAACCTTTTTCCCCATTCTCCCCCTTCCCCCTCCCAGCTGATAACCCTCCAAATGATATCCATATCTATGATTCTGTTTCTGTTCTGCTTGTATGCTTAGGTTGTTTTTTCAATTCAATTGTTGATAGTTTTGAATTTATTGCCATTTTAATGTTCATAGTTCTTATCTTTTTTTTAAATATGTCCCTTTAACATTTCATATAATAGTGGTGTGGTGATAATGAACTCCTTTAGCTTTACCTTGTCTGGGAAGCACTTTATCTGTCCTTTGATTGTAGATGATAGCTTTGCTGGATAGAGTAATGTAGGTTGTAAGTCATTCCTTTTCATCACTTTGAATATTTCTGGCCAGTCCCTTCTAGCCTGAAAAGTTTCTTTTGAGAAATCAGCTGACAGTCTTATGGGAACTCTTTTGCAGGTAACTGTTTGCTTTTCTCTTGCTGCTTTTAAGATTCTCTCTTTGTCTTTAACCTTTGGCATTTTAATATGATGTGTCTTGGTGTGGTCCTCTTTGTGTCCATCTTGTTTGGGACTCTCTGTGCTTACTGGATTTGTATGTCTATTTCCTTCACCAAATTATGGAAATTTTCTTTCATTATAATTTCAAATAAGTTTTTGATTTCCTGCTCTTTCTCTTCTTCTCCACGCCCCTATGATTTGAATGTTGGTACATTTGATGTTGTCCCAGAGGCTTCTTAGCCTATCCACATTTTTTTGGATTTTTTTTCCTCTTGCTGTTCTGATTGAATGTTTCTTCTTCTTTTATATTTCAAATCATTGAGTTGATTTTTGGCTTCATCAGCTCCACTGTTGATTGCCTGTAAATTTTTCTTTATTTCATTAAAATGTCACTTTCATTTCTGCCTGGGTCTTTTTTCTGCTGTTGAAGTACCCAATGAGTTCCTTGAGCATCCTAATAACCAGTGTTTTGAACTCTGCATCTAATAAATTGCTTATCTCCATTTTGTTTAGCTGTTTTTCTGGAGTTTTGTTCTGTTCTTTCATTTGGGCCATATTTCTTTGCCTCATCATTTTGGCAGCCTCCATTTTTGACAGCCTCCCTGTGTTTGTTTCTGTGTATAAGGTAGAGCTGCTTTGACTCCCTGTCATAGTAGCATGGCTTATTGTAGAAAAAGCACCTGTAAGTTGGATGGGATGGAGCCTTAGGTAATTGCCTGGGCGGGGAAGCCTGTGTGAACCAGGTTCATGGAGCCTCCAATGTGGTGTCTCCCTCCTGCTCTGTGGCTGTGTGGGGGAGGGCTCTGAAAAGGGGACAGTGAGGCTGCCTGGCCTCTGGAATTTTGTCCAGGAGGAAGCTGTCCCCTGGCCCTCACCCTGATGCCAGACACTTCAGTTTTTCCCTGTTTGCAACTGGTGCCCTTCAAGCCTTGCCATGGTGTACCTTGGTGCTTGAGTCCAGAAGGAGCGAGTCTGCAGGCCCTAAGTTGTAAGTCCATTGTGGTCCCTTTTAGAGGAGATGCCTGAAAAATCCCAAAGTTTCTTCTGCTGCCCCAACCCCCACTGGTTTTTACAACCAGAAATTATGAGGACTTGACTTCTTAGCACTGGAACCTAAGGTTGGGTGGTCTGGTGTGGGGCTGGATCCCTCTATCCCCAGAGGTATCCCTCCCTATTTTTATCCACCACAGGTGGGTGCCCATTTTCTGGATAAATGTGGTTGTCAGACTTCCAAACAGCTTGATTCTCTGACAATTCTGGGTGATAGTTGTTTGTTTTTTAAAAAATTTATTTATTTATTTTTAGAGAGATGGGGAGGGAGAAGGAGAGGGAGAGAAATGTTAATGTGTGGTTACCTCTTGTGCACTCCCAACTGAAGACCTGGCCTGCAACCCAGGCATGTACCCTGACTGGGGATTGAACCAGCAACCCTTTGGTTCACAGGCCGGTGCTCAATCCACCGAGCCACACCAACCAGGGCAGGGTGATAGTTGTTTTGTAGTTTAGTTGTAATTTTTGCTGTGGTTGTGTGAGGAGGCAAGCCAAGTATACTTAGACCTCCATCTTGACTGGCCCAGCCTGGTTTTCCTTAGGGCTTATTTTTGGTAACATTTAATTTGCTGACTAGGTTGTGCAATTTCTAGTGGAAGTGCTTATTGTAGGGAAATTATACAGCCCCTCTTAACATTAGGTTCCCCAAAAATCTTTTGTTTGTGACAGACGTAGGGTATTATCAGTCATTAAAACTACCAAACCTCTAGAAATATACCAAAAACAGAGAAGTGAACAAACATTTACTGCGTAACTAATTGATCTTTCTGTTAATGTTTATTAAATGGTTTTAATAAATATCTCAGTTCTTTAAATAGGGAAATGTCATTTATGTTTGTCATGGAGCAAGTTTAATCTTGTGTTACTGTTTTCCCAGGTGGTAAATTCTTTATTCTGTGAGCTAAGATGCAATCATCACCATTCAGGTTAAAGGAAAGACTAATGTTTTATTTTATTCTTTAGCCGATTTTTTCAATACCAGTAACCTTTCACTGTTATCCTAACATTTCCATCTTTTGTGACTTTTTCTGTTTAGGTGCCTTCTCTTTTCTGCCCCTGGGGGTTTGTTTTTAAATCTGGTTAGGTTTTTGTTCTGTTTGGGATGGGGCATCCTTTGCCATTGCATGAAAGCCTGGAGAGATGTAGCTTTAACTGGGGTTATGATAAATTCAGAGAAGTCAGCAAGATTTAACTTGGAAGTCATCAGATACATGGTCTTGAAAGTATATTAGTTGTTTATAGATCATTTTTCTCTGCTTTAAAATTGTTTGAGGAGTTAAACGTAAATATCAAAGTAAAATGTTTATTCTGCAAAGTTTTGTTATTTAATTAGGTGTTTGGTGACCAATAAATCTGCCTGGTTGAACTATTGGAATCGAATTAGTAATTTTGTGTAATAGCTGGCTCTTTCTAACCATAGTCTTAATATTTATTTAATACTCTTCATAAAAGATTAATGAATTACGTTCTTTTAATGAGGTAGTTCAGTAAGAAACAGGTCTGAACATCTAGTCCCAGCTCTCCCTGAAAACCTGCTCTGTGACCAAGAGCAAGAGTAGACACTTCACCCTATGCCTCAGAACCACCCTCCCGAAAATAATGATACAGATTGCTCCCTACCTCTCACGGTTGTTGTGAGGAAAACTAATAAGGGAACTTCCTCACAAATAAAGTGCTTGTGAATAATTATGTACATGTACTAAAAGACTTTGTCAAGAAAAAGCTTTAAGAAATGAGTCAAAGAATGTTGAGGAACTTAGTATATAGTAATTATCTTTTTCATTTTTGTCAGTAGTTATATAAAATTGAGTTGTAAAATTAGGAAAAGTTTCCTGTAATAGCTTTAGTACATACTTCACACCAAACTGTATAATAATGTAAATTAAAACTTGTGATTACTTTAGCACCGTCGATGTATGCCCAGGCATTATTTAAGTGTCAGAGACCCAACACATCTCTACATAGTTTAAGCACTGTAATGTAGACTGTGAATACATGTGCAAGAGATGCAAGGGAACTTGTTTGATATTTGCCTACTAGAATTTTTTGTTGTTTTGTTCTGACACAGGTATTTCCTTCTAGGTAATTGTCCTGGGAACCCCTGCAGAAGAAGATGGTGGTGGCAAAATTGATTTAATTGAAGCAGGGGCTTTTAAAAATCTTGACGTTGTTTTTATGGCCCATCCATCCCAAGAGAATGCTGCCTATCTGCCTGATGTGGCTGAACATGAGTAAGTAATCAAATTGCAGTAAACTTCGTAGTGGAAAACAGACTATTAGAATACTTTAATGTCTTTTTTTTTTCTTTTAGAAGAACAGAACATTTATTGGCTTGTAGTTTGGAGATGTGAAGTCTGAAATCAGGTGACAGGGCCAAGGTCCACCTGGGACCCGTAGGGGAGGATCCTTCCCACCTCTTCTGGCTTCTGATAGCCTCAGACATGACTTGGCCTGTGTCAGCATAATTTTAATCTCTGTCTTCGCATGGCTTCCTCTCTCTCTTCACACCGTCTTTCCTCTATGTCTCGAGAATACTTTTATGTCTTAACTGGAGACTAAAACTCCATATTTATAGATTTAAAAAGTAAATTGAGCCCTGGCCAGGTGACTCAGTTGTCTGGAGCGTCATCCTGTACACCAAAAGGTTGCAGGTTCCGTCCCCAGTCAGGGCACATACCTAGGTTGTGGGTTCGATCCCTGCTCCAAGCATGTACCGAAGGCAAACCAATCAATGTTTCTCTCTCACATAGATGTTTCTCTCTCTCTCCCTCTCCAAAATCAAGTAAAAAGAAAAATATCCTCTAAAGGAGAATTTAAATAAATAAATAAGTAAATACATAAATAAAATGAATTGAAAGATAATGATACTATATCTTCATTTTCATTGAATCATCTGCTAAGCCTCTTCCAAATGAGATTTCATGTGATACTCATAATTGGGTTATTGAAATAGTGCCTAAAAAGTATAAGAATAGCAAATGATATGTTGACATTCATGTTCTATTTTGAACTGAGAGTTCTGGTTTCTGGAAAATAGCCTTTGATATGATTTGCAAAAGACAGCTTTATTAGACATGGGAAGAAAACACACTTCTCTAGTTTACTTATTTTAATTTGAATTTTTTGCAAAGATAAATTCCTGAGCAATAATAGAGAATCTGACTAGCCATGGATTTTAGTGGAATTTGACAATCTATGCTTTTCTGATGTGTCTGATGCTAAATCCTGTTTTAGATTGTTTGCTATGTAGAAAAGCTCACTTTTGGGGGTATCTAGGAGCATGCATTATTGAAATGATTTGAATTTTGTGGACCAGAACTTTCAGCCACTAGAGCTTGTTTTCAGAGGGTGCCTATTATACCTGTTCTGGTATCTTTGTTGTTATCCCTGGGAATTAGTGCTGTAACAGTAGGAAGAATCTTTCTGCTCTGGTTTCAAGAGTAGAGTACACTAGTATACCTCTGGAAAACCTTAGTGATCTGAAATTTCCTCCAGTGCCTCTGGCTAGAAGGGGCCTGAGGTGCAGGCAGGCTTCCCAGCCCATTAGCTTTCCAGGACTTAGGGTTAGGCTTCTTGGTCTTGATCCTGAACTCAGTCCAGTTGGCCTCAGGTCTTTTCTTAGTGTCTGGCTTCTTAGATTTTTTTTTTTATTGGCCATCTTTTCAGATAGAAAATAGAGGAAGAACAAAAATTAAAATTCAAAAAGTTACTTATCTGTTCATCCTAAAAATCTCTAACAATAAATAGATGTCCCTGCTGACCACCTTTCCCACATCTAGTCCCTTTTCTAGAGGTAGGTATCCTTCCAGGGCTTTTGGGTGTATTTATGGACATTAGTAGGTACATATATGAATTAAATTTTAAAGGAGGGTTTACACCCTGAAGTATTCTGCTAAACAAGTTGTTAGTCTGGTTATTGCTTGTTAAAATTAAGCAATATGTCTTGAAAATCATTCCATATCATTTTGTTTGAATATATGCTTTTAAAGCCAAAAATACTAGTACTGATACAAAACATTAACATTTATTTTCTTAAAGTTTATTGTGCTTTAATTCTGAACCATAGAAGAAATGTGCTAGAGTCATTTTCATAAAGGACATCCTTTTGCATTCTATAAATTTATCATTGTTCTGTTAAAATGCCAGTTTTAGGGTGATGGTGATAAGATGGAATTAACAAATACTGTAAAATCTTAAAAATATGTTTGGCTGCTCTCATGTGTTTTTGTTTTCCTGACAGAATGTTTGGAATCAGTCAGGAAATACTATAAGCACATGAGCATTGTACAGATTCCTGAATCTAGCCCATTTAAAAAAAATAGAGTCAGGAGTGGCTTTTTATCATTTAAATGTGGGTACTACTAAATCAGTTGGGCTTTAAAATATTTTCTAAGCAAGTCATCTTTGTAAATAACTAATATGCAGTCCTCTCACTAAACCTTTTTATTAAATTGTATCTGAGTAGTTAACACTGGTATGAGAGCAATCTGAAGGTATCAGTGATACAGGTATTTTGGAACATTAATAAAATGTTGGTCAGGAACAACTGACTTAATAACTGCAGTATCTTATCATGTTAGTATAATCTGATTTCCAGAGTTTGTCCTAATCCATTTCAAATGTCACTTGTCTCTTTTCTCAACCTTCCCCCACCCTTGAGACAGAATTATCTGAGCTTTCGCAGACCTTTGGTATAGAACCATCACAATAAAGTAACAGAGATAGGAGTCATCTTTTTTGTAATTCTAGCACCTAATACAATATTGTATATTCACTTGAATTGAGTTGTAAACAAATTTAATTTGAATAGCCAGTTGAATGATCACAGTTTCTCTTTTTCTCTCTTTTTTTGGAATGCCTTCTTTGTGCCAGTCACTCTATTTTGTAATAAAATGCTACAACAGAGCTATGTACGTTGCTATTATTGCTACAAATGATTTGCAACTAAAAATTCTAGCAGTGTGAATTAATTTGAATACTAGCTGGGTAATTCTTACTACTTGGATTTTCTTACTTTAGTGATTTTGAAAATAATTCCAGGTGCTGTTTTATTTCCTAGTGTGACTGTGAAATACCATGGAAAAGCATCTCATGCTGCTGCTTACCCCTGGGAGGGAGTAAACGCGGTCGACGCTGCTGTTCTCGCGTACAACAATCTGTCTGTGTTGAGACAGCAAATGAAACCAACCTGGAGAGCTCATGGTATGAAGGTCAAATATTTTGTGTAATAGATGGTGCTCCATACACTTTAATACAACGTAATTACTTAATATTTGATTTTTTAAAATTGAAAACATTTTATGTACTTAATATGAATATTCCAGAATATGTAGACATTGTCAGAAATTGCATAATAGGATACTAGGAAGTTTGTCTATCTGTGGGTAAAAAGACAAGAAAGACAAACAGAAATGGAGCCCTGACTGGGGTGGTTCAGTGGATTGGGCATCATCCTGCAAACTGAAAGGTCACCAATTTGATTCCCAGTCAGGGCACATACCTGGGTTGCAGGCCAGGTCCCTGGCTGGGGGCGTGTAAGAGGCAACCAATCAGTGTGTCTCTTGCACATCAATGTTTCTGTCTCTCTCCTTCTCCCTCCCTTCCCCTCTCTCTAAAAATAAATACATAAATCTTAAAAAAAAAATGGAATGGTCATTTTGAGTATTAGAAGTTAGTAGTTTTGTGTAAAGACCTGTGTTCTTTCTGCGGTCGTTTCAAAGTTGGAACTTGATTTTCCAGTTGTCCTGTTTCTGAATGATAACAAAATTTTGTCACTTCCTCAACTTAAAAAAGTTACAGTTACTGGTTTTATTTACTCAAGTGCTATTAATCCTAAGTAGCATCTTTTAAAAATTATGTGTATCACTTTAATATAAATACAGTAATAAAGTACTGTTTTGAAGGTACATACAAATTTATTTTTAGTTTATTTTCTTATGAGTTGGGAAATTATTATATATCAATACTTTAATACCTATTTTTTACCTGACTTTGCTATAAGCATAAATTTGTTTATAACCACACTTTTACCAATCTCCTACATTTCTTTAAAAGAAATGCAGGAATATGTAAAAAATTACTTTTTAAAACAGTTCATATAAAATTAGATTTTGCATATCTATTTTAGTTATAATTTTGATTGGATAAATCTTCCTTCTCTGTGTAAGCCCAAATAAATGCATTTGTTTTAACAGTTAATAGTACTTAGTGATCTTTGACACATTGTTTTCTTCCTGGCACAAAAATTATTTTCCCGGAGCCAAATGCCTTTTAAAATGCTCATGGGATTCTTGAAGCACAAGAGTAATTATAGAACTTTACACCATCAGGGTTTTTTATGTCAAAGGTTTATCAAAATGTACAATTGTCATATAAGTTACTGAAATAAAAGTATTTTCCAGAAGGCTTAATATAGTTGTAAACTTTCGTACATTTTTTTGTAGTCAGGAATCATAATTTCTTATAAATTCCTTAGAATAAAGTACATATAAACAGTTCTTTTCCTGTTAGCCAGAAAGTATCACCCTATGGTATGTAGAAACTTTTGTTGTACAGTGAAATCTTTGATTGATATGTGTGTGAAGCAAATAAATTTAAATGATTTTTATGCACATATTGGCTAAAAATGTTATGGGTGTATTTAAGCTTAAGGAAATGGTCTCCAAGCTCCAAGCTCAATTCCAGTAATTTGGTTCTTTTTATAGGGATAATAAAAAATGGTGGTGTAAAACCCAATATCATTCCCTGTTATTCTGAATTAATCTATTACTTCCGTGCACCCTCAATGAAAGAACTTACAGTTTTGACCGAAAAGGCAGAAGATTGCTTCAGAGCTGCAGCTTTGGCTACTGGGTGCACAGTAAGAACTTTTTAGAGTTATTCTATATTATAATTAGAGGTATATATGTGGGCTGGGATTGTTTATATTAAGTTAGATTAGCACCTTCATTGCTGCTTTTTCACCGGGTGATATCTTGAATATGTAGCCTCAGTCGTCTGAATGTCGACGTGAAAGCCTTCACTTACATTACTCAGTGTGTGCACAGGGCAGACTGTAGTCATCTTATCACACAGTAATGGGAATATCTGATACTGCTGAGTAGAATTCCTGCCTTTCTGCAAGTTATATCCTTCCTTATTGGTAGTTATGCTTTTAGAATTGCTCTACATAGTTTCTGTAAAGGAAATTTTGTGGCAAAATCAGCAAAAGCAATTTTTGGCAAAGTTCTAGATTTGTATATAGTAGAGATATAAATACTTAGGGCTTGCTGGAATGAGAGTTCACACAGACACAGACGTTAGTCAGAAAGTCGTGTTCACTTGCACCATGAAGTCAGGAACACTTGTGTACCAACTATGTGTGGCACACAGCATGATAAGTTACAGAGTGACGTAAGGTTTGCCCTGTGGGGAGCCAGCAGTCTAATTGGAGAGATAAGATCTGGATGCGTGCCTCTCAGCCTCACTGATTCTGTAACTTTTGGAAACGTTATTTAATATCTCTTGGCCTCTATTTCCTAGGTGAAAAATGGAGATAATATAATCTATTTTAGGGTTCTTCTGAGAATTAAATGAGGTAATGTTTCTGAAGAGTTAGGGTCTAACCCCCATGCATAACATAATACCTCATTTTTCTCTACCCTCATTAGACTGGAGATGTACGATTTATTCAGAGAAGCAGCAGTGTCTCAAACAGTAACAGTGATTCTCAGACAAGATACGTTAAGTGTCCAAAGAGTAAAAGATTAAGCATTTACCCCTTGTTTATTTATAATTATGGATATCTAAATATTTATAAAATAAATACTTGAACTGTTATCATTAGGTGGTATCTCAAAATAAATATTTCCTTAAGATAAGATTCATTGTTGTTGGATTTAAATTTATATTTTAAATAGTCTTTAGTAACTTTTTATATTTTGGCTGACTTGTAATATCTAATTAGGTTATCATGGTTTCTAATTTATAAGGTCTGTTCAGAAGGTATGTAGCCAAGTAATATGGAAAATAGAAACATTTGCCCTAGCTGGTGTTGCTCAGTGGATTGAGCACCAGCCTGCGAACCAAAAGGTCGCTGATTTGATTCTCAGTCAGGGCACATGCCTGGATTGTGAGCCAGGTACCTCGTAGGGGGCACGTGAGAGGCAGCCACATATTGATGTTTCTTTCTTTCTCTTTCTCCATCCCTTCCCCTCTCTCTAAAAATAAATAAAATCTTTAATAAAAAATTTATTGAAGAAGATACAAGAAACATTGTATATAGGACAATGACACCTCAGTCCTCTTCAAAGTAGGCACCTTGAGGCCTCACACAGTTCTCCCAATCACCGTCAGCTGCCCCATCGTATTTTCCTGAATCTCACTGATGGTCTGAAATCTCTTCCCTTTCAAAGGTCATTTAGTTTTGGGAAAAGCCAGACGTCCCAGGGTACCAAATCTGGGCTATGGGGGGACTGGGTCACCTGGGTGATTTGATGTTTCTCAAAAAAACTCTGCACTAGACATGATGCATGAGCTGGCATGTTATTGTAATGCAGCTGCCAATCACCAGTTGCCCATAGCTGCAGCCTTCTGAATTATCCAGATAGTTTCTGCAGAGGAATGTTAAGCTTAATGCAAAATTTGATGCAGATCCGTTGCTGTACTTGCTCAGGCATTTTGAATGCTACAGCCACACAGTACACATGCTCACTCAATGGATTCTACCCGCCCCCCGCCACTGACTAGTACAATGAAGTCATCATTGTTCACACATGCACATTTTAGTCCACTCTCTTTGGCCATCAGGTTACATCAATGTCAGACAAACTGTTCTCATTAACAATAACTGGACTTTTTTCAGACAAACTTTGTAGATGTTAAAAGAAATGTCATCTCTGCCATTTTATACGTGGCTTTTGCTAATTTAGTAGGTATTATCTTTAGTTTGAGGGAATAGTGTCCATTTTTATTTAATCAAAACTAAATTTGTAAATTGTGACTCTTCTTTTTCTCAGAGTACTTGTACTCCTTTCAGACCAGGCAGTGGTGTCAATATCAGTTTGTGTGTTGAATATTAGTAAAGTTTAATGTCTTTCTTGCAGAGGCTACAGCCTACAGCAGTGTTTGTCAGAGTGTGGTTTTTGGACCACCTGCATCAGAGTTACTTGGGAGTGCTGGTTGAATCGGAGATTCCTGACTACCCCCACACCCCACTTAGGTCACTGAAGTTGAGATCCACTGGCTAGCAGAGCTAGGGGACATCATGTGCTTTGGTGCATACATAACAAAGGAGACAGAGTCCTGGGAACTCTTGTTACAGAAAATGCATATTTTTATAAGATATTTGAGAGAGTTTATGTTCAGAGGGAAAGTGGACCCTCTTAACCCCTTTCTATTAAAAAAAAAAAGATTGCTGGTTTGAAATTTAGATAGTGAATTTGAGTTTTTTATTTCAAAATATGTTTCTAATTTTTTTACTAGGTGGAAATTAAAGGTGGAGCACATGACTATTACAATGTCCTTCCCAATAAAAGCCTAAGGAAAGCTTATATTGAAAACGGGGAAAAGCTGGGAATAGAATTCATTTCAGAAGATGATGCAGTTTTGAATAGCTCTTCAGGTAATTAAGTTCTTTACTGTGCTATTTGAGGAAGGGAAATATTATCTTTTATCGAATGGTTTTATTAAACAGCTTTGAAGGTAGGGAGGTATTGCTGGTGTTTTTAACTATTTTTCACAAATTTAATGGCTAGGGAAGGAAACTAGTAAACTCTGTAGTGAATATAGAATATCAAATGAGCAGATTTGTTTTTAGAAATAGCTAACATACTTTTTGCTTTATATTCTAAATACTTTTAGTGTTTAAATGTGCTCAGTTCTAATTTTTTATTTTTCAATTACAGTTGGCATACAATATTATATTAGTTTCAGGTGTATAACCCAGTGATTGGATATTATATAACTTAATAAATGATCACCCATTACAAAAACAACTTTAAATAAGCTACTAAAAGGGAAAATAGAATTTTAATTAATTCTTACTCATCAGTATGCAGTCCACTAAGTACTTTGTTAAATGGGATCATTTTCTATTTCTGGGAAGTAACAAGCAACTATTAAAATTTAAATAATCATAAGCGTATTAGGGGTTATTTTAGATTTTTCTTTTAAAAACATTACTAATACATTTGCATCTTAGAGATTTATCTCCTAAAATATAATAATAAATGTTGATGAAGTAGACTGAGAAAGACTTGATGATAAAAATGGGGTGCCACTGTCATTTATTAAGAGAAGGAGTTCAAGAGAATGAGCAGATTAGGGTGTGGAGGGCTGGTATAAATGATTAGAATGTTAAATTTGAGATGCTTACAGGATTTCTAAGGGGAGCTGTCCAGTAGCCTATTGAATCTGGAACTCTCGAAAGATGTTTAGGTAGGGGATTTAGGAGTTGTCAGTATCTGAAAGGTAATTGAAAACAGTTGGTGAGGTTGCCAAAGAGACCCTAGATGTCAGTCACTAACACTTAGGAAACAAGCAAAAGAAGGGATCTAGAGAAGGAGACAGACAGCAGTCACAGCAAGCCCGACAGTCAGGAGAGAGGGCAGTCGTGGAAGCCAAAGCAGTACAGAATTTCTAGAAAGGAAGGAGCCAAACATCATGGTAGGTACTAAAGAGAAAGAGATTGAAAAAGATAAGATCTAGTGTCTATCCGACTAGCAATTAGAAAATCACGGATTGTCTTACCTTCCCAAGGATCTACTGATTTTGGAAACGTTAGTTTTGTGGTTCCTGGGATTCATCCATATTTTTACATTGGATCTGATGCCTTGAATCATACAGAACAATACACTGAAGCTGCAGGTAAGTGTTACTAGAAGTGAATGTTTCAGCATGTGCTCTCTTTTCATAGAAGCCTTTCTGATTGTTTACTTTAGCCTATTATTATTATATTACCTAAAACCACCTAAGAAAGCACTATATTATGGGCAGTGGAGAGGCAATTTAAATATTGAGAGCTAACTTTAAAACTAATAAGTTAATTTATAATAAATATGGAAGTATTTTAATTTATTTACTGTACCTTTTAGGATCTCAAGAAGCTCAATTCTACACTTTGCGTACAGCCAAAGCTCTGGCAATGACTGCGTTGGATGTGATTTTTAAACCAGAGTTGCTAGAAAGAATCAGAGAGGACTTTAAATTGAAACTTCAAGAAGAAGAATTTTTAAATAGAGTAGAATAAAAGGAAGATTTAGGAGCCACTTGTGGATCATTAAGAAGTGGTAATGATTTTTTTCCTGTAATCTTTTTTGATGAATGAGGAGGGCATGCTTATTTTTCAGTCTTAAAAGAGTCAAATTTCTCTTAGCTGAAAAGTGAGGCCATAGTGTGGAGTTAAATACATTAACTTATAACTAAAATTAAAATTTTCCCAAATTTAGATTTGGTGGAATTGAGATCTTTCAGGAGCTGGTATATGGTGCTATTTCTTAAACAAGCTGGATACTACATGGTATATCAGTGATAATAGTTTATGAATTCATATGTTATATAACTATATTTCAAAAGATCTTGGAGATTTCAAGACATATTCAGAATCAGTGCAAGATTTTTTTCTGGTATAGGGTGGTAAAATTGTTTCACAAAGTAGTTTTAAAGTTCAAGTTCTGAATTTAGGGGAAGTTGAGTTTGACGTCTGACTATGTTTGTTTTGATTTAAAGAATCTTTTCATTGATGATAAAAGGAGGATTTAATCAGAAATGCTGTGGAAAACAACCTGAGACTCATGTACAAAGAATAAGCTTTAGTTGTACCATGTGAAGGAAGAATAAAATGTTCATTTTTTAATATAATTAACCCTGAAAAGTGGCATTAAAATGATATTCCTAATTCCATATAACTTCAATAGGAAAAAGTATAGATGCATAATACTGAACTCTTCTTATAAGGTGTCTGCTTGGTAGCCTAGTGTGCTTTAAGAGGACTTAATGAGAGAGGAACAATGCTTATTTATCTTCAATGTTAATGACATATCACCACTCAAGCTTCTATTCAACAGCCAGCGTGTGCAGCCTGGCTGGACAATATTATAGTTTACCGAGTTTGACAGATAGAATTCTAAGCTTCCTTAATCCCTATGCTGGCCCAATCTTAATTTTAAAGTATTATAAGTTTTTTCTGGTTCTTATTTTAGTGTGAATTTCTTGAACATGATAAAAGAATGTGAAAAAAAGTATCTGGTAAAGCAAATATTTTAAGCAGTGAATAGAGTAAAGCTGCAGAATATTTTATTTTAAAGGGAGTCCTCAAATTTGAGGGTAAATATTCCAACATAGAAGGCAGAGGAGAGAAAAGTGATCATTTGGCCTCTGCTGTGAGCAAGTCACTTGGGCCCCTCTGAGCCTTCGGTACTCCACTGGGGAAGTTAAAGCAAATCACTTACACTCACAGTCTTTTGCACCTCTAATTCCTAATAGTTTGGGAGTGTTGCTTCTTGGGAATTGTTTATCTTCTATGTCACGGGTCTGCAAACCACAATCTAGTTTCACAAGCGGTCTGATTTTATACAACAAGCATGGTAAAAATGATTTTTACATTTTTACATGGTTTGGTCGGGGGGAGTAGGGAAGGAATGGAGACCAGATGATGTGACCTCAAAACCTAAAAATACTTCCAGTCTGGCCCATTACAAAAAAAAATTTACCAGCTCCTGTCCTGTATAACAATAAAACAAAACCTGTTTCTCTTTCATTTACCTCATACAATCAGATGTCCTCCTGGGCTAAAACTTCAAGCCTCTACACTGAAAGCACCTGGAAAAGGGATGTAGATGGCAGCGCCCTGACTTGACCATACAGGGCAGCAGTTGGTCCTCCTGGGCGTCTTCAGAAGTTTGCTTTCTTTTCACAGTTACTTCTGGGACACCCTGCTACCTTACCACTTTGCCCTAGTAAGCCCATCTTCTAACTCTTCATCTCAGCTTTTGGAAATTGATCCTGCATGCCACCCTTTGTCTGATTATTTATAATCTCAAAAAGTCAGGGTTAGTACATATTTTATATACAGGAGAGGGATCAACAAAGGCCTCAGGTTGAAAATTAGAATGTCCGAGACCTCTGGTTTCCTAATGGTCAATTTTATAAATTTCTTAACTGTAAATTTTAAATTCTTCCACTCAGGAATGTGGTTTTATTTTTTAAAGCCTTCATGACATTGTAGAAAAGTGACTATTAACTGATATCCTAACACACTAACACTCTCCCATCTCTTGTGAAGTATCACAAGTTAATTGTTACTCATACAAAGTATTCATATTTTTCTTGTGATTTTTAAAATTACTTCTTAAAACAAATTAGAAAAAATTCAAGATTAGCATTCTAGAGACTTCAGGTCAAGATGGAGGCATAGGTAAACATGGACTGCCTCCTCACACAACCACAGCAAAAATTACAACTAGACTACAAAACAACTATCATCTAGAACCATCAGAAAATCGAGCTGTGTGGAAGTCCAACAACTAAGGAATTAAAGAAATCACATTCATCCAGACAAGTAGGAGGGATGGAGACACAAAATGGGTGGTCCCATATCCACGGGTGGTAGATAAAAATCTGGAGGGACACCTCAGGAGTGAGGGATTCCAGCCCCACACCAGACCACCCAGCCTAAGGTTCCAGTGACAGGAAGATAAGTCCCCATAACTTCTGGCTATAAAAACCAGTGGGGTTTGGGGTGGCAGGAGAAACTGCAGGATTCTCAGGCATCTCCTCTAAACGGGACCACAATGGACTGAGGGCCCACACACTCACTACCTCTGGGCTACAGCACCAGAGTAATAGCTTGAAGGACACCAGTGGCATACAGGGAAAAACTAAAGTGTCTGGCATCAGGGCAAGTGCCAGGGGACAGCTTCCTCCTGGACAAAACTCCAGAGGCCAGATAGTCACATTGTCCCCTTTCTAAGCCCTCCCCCACACAGAGACACAGAGTGCCACACTATATCTGAGACTCCATCAACCTGGTTCACACAGGTTGCCCTGCCCTGGTGATTACCTAAGGCTCTGCTCCAACTTACAGGTGTACTTTCCTGTAATAGGACATGCTACTAAGACAAGGAGAAATAGCCACTCTACCTGATACATAGAAACAAACACAGGGAGGCTGCCAAAATGATGAGGCAAGGAAATATGGCCCAAATGAAAGAACAGAACAAAACTCCAGAAAAACAGCTAAACAAAATGGAGATAAGCAATTTATTAGATGCAGAGTTCAAAACACTGGTTATTAGGATGCTCAAGGAACTCATTGGGTACTTCAACAGCAGAAAAAAGACCCAGGCAGAAATGAAAGTTACATTTTAATGAAATAAAGAAAAATTTACAGGCAATCAACAGTGGACTGATGAAGCCAAAAATCAGCTCAATGATTTGAAACATAAAGGAAGAAAAAACATTCAATCAGAACAGCAAGAGGAAAAAAGAATCCAAAAAAATGTGGATAGGCTAAGAAGCCTCTGGGACAACATCAAATGTACCAACATTCAAATCATAGGGGCGTGGAGAAGAAGAGAAAGAACAAGAAATCAAAAACTTATTTGACAATATAATGAAAGAAAACTTCCATAATTTGGTGAAGGAAATAGACATACAAATCCAGTAAGCACAGAGAGTCCCAAACAAGATGGACACAAAGAGGACCACACCAAGACACATCATATTAAAATGCCAAAGGTTAAAGACAAAGAGAGAGTCTTAAAAGCAGCAAGAGAAAAGCAAACAGTTACCTGCAAAGGAGTTCCCATAAGACTGTCAGGTGATTTCTCAAAAGAAACTGCAAGCTAGAAGCTACTGAGGAGAAGTGTTCAAAGTGATGAAAAGGAATGACTTACAACCTACATTACTCTATCCAGCAAAGCTATCATTTAGAATTGAAGGGCAGATAAAGTGCTTTCCAGACAAAGTAATGCTAAAGTTCATTATCACCAAGCCACTATTATACGAAATGTTAAAGGGACTTAAGAAAAAGCAGACCAAAACTATGAACATTAAAATGGCAATAAATTCACAGCTCTCAACAGTTGAATGTATAAAAGAAGCTAGGTGAACAAGCACAACTGAAACAAAATCATAAATATGGAGATCATTTGGAGAGTTATCAGTTAGGAGAGGGAAGGAGGAGAATGGCGGGGAAGTTCAGGGATTAAGAAGCACAAATTGGTAGGCCCAGAATAGAGGGATGTTAAGAACAGGAGAGGAAATGGAGTAGCCAAAGAACTTAGATGCACAACCCATGAACACAAATTAAGTGGGGGCTTTCCAGAAAGAATGGGTGTACTGGGTGGATGGGGGCATAGGAGGAAGATTGGAACAATTGCAATGGCATAATCAATAAAATATATTTTTAAAAGATTAGCATTCTTTTGCTTCCCTTGCATCTGATAATCTCCCTTGTGTGAGAGAGCACGTTGGGGCACTGCGGCTGGCATGCGGGAACTAGGAGAGCTGCACCAGTGCCTTGTGCCACAGCCTGGGGTGAGGAACTAATAGTGATGTACCACTAGGATTTGGGTCACTGTTGAGTTTCTGTAATATTTCTTTTTCAATTTTTGAAAAGTTCTGGTCCAAATAACGGTTTACTCATTGGAATATACCATGGAATTATCATGTTGGAAAAGAGATTGAGAACTGATGGTCTAGAGTCTATCTAGAGGTATAGCTTTTTTCAGATCTTGATGTTTTCCATTATTTTACATAACAGTTTTTTAATCTAATGCAGATTTAAAAATAGCTATTTACTTTCTACATACCAGTGAGTTAATTGAATTATATATTATACTATAAAGTATACATAAATACATAATAAATGCTGGAGTCAAATTCTCACGTCCAGAGCAACCGCCTATAACAAGTGTGATACACTGTTTGAATTCAGGAGAGTGCTTCCTTTCGTAGTGATAGTTTTCCTGTTGGAATTCAGTTCTTCTTTCCCCTCATACTCCAGTGGCATGTTTTCTAAATAATTGTGCTAAATTTTCTTATATGTTTATTCTTGGCTTAAATTATTAGTGTTGGTTGGTTGGTTGGTTAGTACATTTTCAATTAAATATCCAAAGATTTTGAAAGTTAAAGAGTTTTCAAAAGTTAGAGTATAGGTGAAATTAGAGTATAGGTGAACAGTGTCACTTTTAGAAGGGTTATATTTAGCTCTTTATACTTAAGAGATAAGTGCTTATTTTTAGAAGGTTGACAAATGAATAGGACTTCTAAAATTTTATAATTTTGT